TACATACATACATACATACATACATACATACATACATACATACATACTAACATAACAAAACAAAACATAACATAACATAACATGACATGACATGACATGACATGACATGAATACATACATACATACATACATACATTGTTTCAGCCAGTGGCCTCTATGTGTGTTGGGTATGTCCGTACATGTTGTCGTTGATGTTGGAGTTGATGTCCTGAATTTGCACTTATGTAAGTGTTGATGTTGGAGTTGATGTCCTGAAATTGCCCTTATGTAAGTGTTGATGTTGGAGTTGATGTCCTGAATTTGCCCTTATGTAGTGTTGATGTTGGAGTTGATGTTTTGATTCTGCCTTTCCAGAACTCTGGTGTGGGCGCTGTGAGTTTTCATGTTGGACTTGATGTTGTGAATGTTGGGAAGTTGGGCCTTCCATTTGTTTGTAACTTTGGCGCCTTATGAAATCACAGTTTTGGAGTGGATGGGCGGGATGTAAATGTTTCATTTAGTTGCCATTGGATGATATAAACACAAAGGCGGGTTGCTATAGTTTGGAAACGCGTAACATTGTTTAAATATGAATAACTCATGTCGGAATCGTGAGCCATGTTCATAAATAGTTCGATTAAGGTAATGGTGCATTTGGCAGAGACGTGAGAAAAAACTGTTCAGTGGATCAAGGTTGAGAAATAGAGATGAGTCCCTGCGAGTCTGGAAAGACAACCAAGTATAGTATACTTAAAAAACAATCCAGTTCAGGTATTTTGTTGTATCAAGTCCTGCTATCTAATTATGAGTTAATTTTGCCTTGGATTGTTGCTGCTTGCCACACAGGCACCATGGACAATACTATTTTAGTGGGCGCTGGCAGGCAAAAGTCATCAGCAATCACAGTGATGAATGATAAGTAGTGATGCAGAACGTGATGCTGCTTCTTGCTTGACAGGACTCCATTCAGTTGCACCATAGGTTTCAATCAGGGGATGTACAACCATACAACATCATTTTCCTCTTGGTACATCAGTATGTCATATCGAGCGGCATTTTACAACAAACACTCACCAATGCAGTCACTTCTTCTAAGACAAGGCATCGTTCCTTGTGTGTTTGATTCTTTTGGCTCACCAAACCCCAACAAAATGCACGCATGGGCTCTGCCTGGCCTTACTTCAGCCCTCCAATATACAGCACTGCAAAATGTAGGGCAATGCAACAAGAACTTTTACAAGTTTGCTTATAGCACTAATGTTGTATCGAGTCAGCAAGCTATGCCAAGTACGCACAAGATCTTTGCCTATTAAATATGAATATACTCTGTCTTTCAAAGAGTCAACTTGCGCATGTCCCCAAACGGTTTTAAACGGTTTACAGAGAAACCACCAAACGGTTTTAAACGGTTTAGCGGACCTTCTAATTTAAAACTATTGTAAACTATCTCGAGCTATATCAAACCATTGCGTGAATGTACCCCCAAACGGTTTTAAACGGTTTGATGGATCCGTCCCAAACGGTCTTAAACGGTTTCATGGATCCTGTAGCAATGTACATCTTGGACTTTCAATAGATGGCTGATTTCTGCTCTGGAGATCTTCAGATGCCTATACTTCAATCCGTGACCAAAAGGTATACATGACATGACATGATTCATGACTTCACAAGTCATAGACACCATTCAAAAGCTTGAAACTGCTGACGTTGAGCATTTGTATATGGCAACTCGTGGATTGTGAGTTGAGTTTGAACTACTCAATGTCAATTGTTCCTGTTCTAAGTACTCCTACCAGGGAGAAAAAACCGTTTGACTTGACAAGCCTGGACTTGACAAGCCTGAGATTTCGGGAAAGCACACAAGCAGGATTCAGAAGGAATTGTGACAACAAACTCAACAAGTCAGAAATCGGGAAAACTAATTTTTGCAGGAAATCCCGACCAGGTCCGGAACCGTCTGATAGAGTTCGAAAAAGCTCGAGAACTGGGAGGGGACTGCCTGTGAACCGTTCGACACCGATCGAAACCGCGTTCGAAACCGTTTTAAACCGTTTGCGAAACCGTTTTAAACCGTTTGCAGGTACAAAAGGCTCGAAATACTATTGTCCTTTATTTTGTGCGTGTTCGTGTGCGTGTGCTGACACTTGCGATTGCCCTCCGAAATTTCCTCACCAGCGAGGGAATGCAACCGAGCCAGGAACCACCAAACATTTGGGAGAGCACAAAGGAATCTGACATATGTCAGTCTTTGACACGGGAATGAAGCTCACAGGTCTATCCGTCTACAAAATGATGGACAATAATGGCAAAATACTGGGACATTCATCCGGAAGAGGCTTGGAGACATAATCTACTGTCCAAGAATACAACTTCACTCTCATCTATAGATATCTGCAGTATTTCATCGATGCTTATCCTACTGTGGCCGTAGGTCTTGTTCTTTGTACGTCAATCCAATGTGGTTTTTATAGGTTTGACCCCATATGGTACATGTAGTATCATTAATCCCATCGAATGTTTCCTTGTGCAATTAGCATGTCATACCTTGCTTAATGTCATGGTAACGCAAAATGACTCTGCATTAGCGGAAGCTGGAAAATGCGTTAGTTGAAAAATGGGCGCTGTGCTTGGCGGTGGCATACTTTACAAGCATAATAAAATATGTGTCTATAGTGTACAATTCATGCTTTCCCCAAGCCAATGAATCATTTTGTGTCGTAGTCTGGAAACATGCATGGTTGATGCAAAAACGCCGTTGTCACACATTTCTGACATTTTGCCAAAATGATACCTGCTTGGCGTCACTTCTTCTAGTCAGCCTCAGCCACTAGCGCAGTCTGTCATAATTCTATCTAGGCGTCTTTGAGTCCGCGGTAAACTATGTGTATATATGATATATGGCATGTGACCAAATTCAGATGCCCAAATTAATCCATCACGACTGACCACGGAGATGTGTTTTCTTGTTTCAATGGTATCACTTGCGCTCATATAGAATCAAACAGTATCATCTGTGTATTTGCGCCAGCTTCAAATGAAAGCACCAAAAGTTTTGAAAGAGTGGTACCATCGATGCCGCGTCCATTGAAAATTGAAACAGCTACATTGGAAGATGCAGGTTTGCAGCATAATTCTATCGTTCATATCCATTTGAAGAAGACTTACTTTAAAATAGTCACAATATCTGTATCTAGACGTCAGGATGGGACATTTGTCAGGTCCCTTACTGCAACATACTGCAACAAATGTGAGATAGTTGGATAAATTCATCAAATGATTTTACAACAATACACGTTTTAGATTCTGAACGTGACATTTGTTTACAAACCCAATCAGCATTATACAATTGCTCTCTTGTTGAGCAGGTTGCA